ATTAATCTAAAACAGCTGGCAAATATTAAAAGAAATTTGTTTTTACCGCAATAAATTTGTTCATAAACAAGTCCTACGTGTAAAAGTGATTTCGATAATAGTTGTATCTTACAGAAACTCAATCACCATGTGAAAACTAAGCAATGTACTTTGTATAGTATGGAAGAATCTATAAAATATGATGCAATTTATTAACCCTTTGCGCTATAACAGTTTTCTCTTACATTATTCTTAACTCTGATTTAATTATTATGGTTTTCATATCGCACCTTAGATATAAAGAAATTGCTGGCAGTTATTTAAAGTTTAGCATTTTTATTAACTAAACGACCGTTCAGGAAGAATAAATTAAAGAGTTAATTATATTTTTTATCGTATCAAATTTTTAGGCAATACATTCAAAGGATCATTTGAATAGAAATATGTCCCACTAATTTATGTGATTAACACATTCGCGACCGGCAGATATTTTACGTTTCTACCACCAAGTACTGACGGAAGATAATAAAATTCTGAAGCCGGACATCGCAAATTTGTATCGTTATAAAGATGAAAATTACAAAACATATTTTGAAATATCAATGTTGTAAATATGTCGCGTATAAAATAAAAAGATTTTCATAATTTTGTCATAACCAGGAACAGAGTCTGATGCGACGTGAATTCAGCGGTCGCGTATGTGTTAACTGTACGAAATATCACGTCAAGGGTGACTTAACAGTTCGAAAGTAGTTAAATATAGTTTTGCCAGAGATATCATCGTAGTGCAAAGGGTTAAAACTATATGACTATGTGAGCCAGACATACACGAACACCCAGAACATCCCAGAGTATTAATTTACACAAGTAATGTTCTGTACAAAACGAAGCGACAATTACATGACCGTCACTCATTGAAGAACTTATATAAAGCGTGTATATAGAGCTTCGTAAACTGAAAGTAAAAGATAAATACCCTGAAGAGAAGTTTGTAAAAAGCCAGGTGTTTAAAATGTCATGCATTAGGAAAACACGGGGCTTATTCCAGACAGGAATTGGGATGCGAGAGAAGGCATAAGGACCTGCCAGCGGTGGTCTTGTTGCTAGTTTGTGCATAACAGGTGGACCAAGGTCTGGCCGAAGTGTAGATGCCCCATGAGGCGAGCCTGTTATTCTACCATCCAGTATTCCTGGTTGTCCTGCAATCCAATTCTATGTATTGCATTATATCAGCTCGACCAAGGAAAAATCGTAGTATAACATAACGCTACTACAAAGATAAATTTCTCATTAAACTCCATTTAGAACACACTAACAAGGAAAACTTGTTTCGCGAGGTTCATAACTTTTACAGATCTACAACATTCCCACTTGTCAATGTATTAGGAAACCAAATCGCAGAGAGAGAATTTTAGTTGTAGTAAAGCCGTTACCTCGTAGCGTCAGTTACACAAAGCTAGTTACACGCATATTTTCCACCTAATACATATCAACCCTTAGCAGTCCAAGTTTTTGTTTGGTCGATGAGATTGGCCCTAAGATACTTTTATTTTAAATAGTAGAAGTTTACTCGGTACGTTTATTTTCCGGATTTAAATTATCCGAGTGGCAACTTGGACCATAACGCCAGACTTTGTCTCGCCTGGAAGGAGTACTTGGTCTGTTAAGGGTTAATAATTTAATTACGAGAACAATAAAACATATACCGTAGTTTCTCGCTTCAAGACGAATTTTATATCGAGTCAAGAGTCTTGATCCGAGACGTAGCCACAAAGAGACACACCAAAAGTGAGCGAGACTGTAGCCGAGTCTCGCGATTCTAGAGCGACTCGATATTACAAAGAGAGGTGACTTCTATTTATCTCTAAGAATACTACAATCGTATGAGCCGTTCACTGCACAAATCGATTCACTCCACTTTTCGAAAGATCTTAAATTTAAGTGTCAAAGCACTCGGTGTAGTCATAACTTTTTATATTTCATCGTATTTCTTAACTTTTAATATTTGAAATCTTGTTAGTTTGTATCAACTGCAAGAATTTCACTGAACAGTGGCGACATTGTGGCATAATATTTGTTACATTATTTGCTATTATTGTACTCGATATCATAAACATACTTTTAGTAGATATGCTAGTACTATCAGATGAATGAAACTCTGAAAGAGGCCACAAGACAAGAAAGATAGGAAGATATTAGGTGGAGCAGAAAGTAATGTCGTTTTTGTAGATGTCAATACTTGTTTATCATTTATCAGGTCATTGTGTACCAATTGATTTTTATCGATCTGAGTTTGAAAATTTGCTAGATAGCAAAAGGTTGTTGATAAAGAGTGCGAACACAATTGATTAAAAATAAAAACTTGTTATGAATTTACTCGTTAGAATTTGATGTAAAAGAAACGACATTACTTTCTGGTCCCCCTAATACTAGGCGAGAGGATTCATCGGTCAAGTTTTTTTTCTAACTGATCCTGCAGAATAAAACTCTCCTATACCGGCTCGCTGATAGTCTCAGAAAAAATAGTAGTCTGTGTTCTGCTACCAGAAAAAAAACTTCGGTCTTGAAGCAAAGGACTACCGGATCGAGTGATTTTCGAATGGTTAATATATGAATAGTATTAAAGAAATATTTTAGCAGGTAAAAATTTCAATGGCATTACCCAGCATCAAGCGTTTGCCAAAGCCAAGTTTCAGGAAAATTCTTGCGTACTTTCATCTTCTCTGATGGTAATACAATTGAACTTGAACCTCCAGCAGCAGTTGAAAAGGCAACGCCCTCTAAACCAGATCTGTAGTATACTATACAAACATAAGCTTTGTTATACGATAAATACCTTGTCTGATCAGTTAAAGAACTGATAGTGACTATTATATGGAATATCGGGCTTGAGGATATTACATTCATGCTACGTTATAAATAAGTAAAACGTCGTAGGCTACGTTACTACATCAGAAAAATATTCAGTATCACATGTAATAGGGGGTGAGTAAAATAATATTAGTAACCAGCTTAATATGCCATTTAAAAACTTGGTTGAGTTTACTTACGAAGTGCGGTATTTTCGTGAACGTATCCATTTGTCATAATGATAGCACCACTTTCCTGATACAGAAATATATAGTTCAAATTTTTTACCGATAAATTGAACGAAATATCGAAACGATAGTATTGGGGTATTTACGCTAAAAACTTCGTTTGCTGTAGCTGATCCAGGGCTCCACAGATATCGATCGAAAACTGAATCCGCATATGGCGATTCCTGTACCATATCGTACGATTTTAACTCTTTGTATACTTGTTCCTGCAACCAATCAAAATCTGTTATAACGATTCACAATTTCGATAGGACTTTGATCAACGAAAGCATTAAAGATTACTTACGTATGAAATATCGTTGCCAGACTTCAGCAAAATGGACCTTTGGTCCACGCCTAATAATCCGACGTACGAGTTTGGTTTCGAAGTAATTAATAAATTAACATTCTCGCCTGGTCCAACTTCTTCGGGCGCTACTTTAATGTCAACCTTGAGTAAGAAACGTGAATTTAATACTTAAATTTATTAATAGCAATTTTTACTCTAATTTAATTGCCGGGGTTAACTTACAAAATTCTGAAGTACTCCTTCGAGTTCTACGTCCAATGCATCTGCTATAATTTCTCCATCGTTTGCGATATAGTATACTATTACATGCGCGGTTGGCGCCATAACATACGTTGCCAAAAACCTAAGATTGAAACTCGTTAGTGCAGACTCTTCGAGCGATTAAGAGACTAAAGATCTGCGTGCTTAGAAATTGATAAATATTTACTTGAACGTTGTCGTGTATTTGTCTTGTACGTATATAGAGCCAGCATCCAATATATCCCCTCGGCCAAATATTTCGTAACTAACATATTTTAACGGAACTGTAGAATTTACCTCCATCTCGACCTCTCGATTGACCTTAACCGAAAATAACATCATTAATATTGATATTATCGCATCTAAAATAACTTACGAATGTGCATACCGTGGGTTTCTCCGTTTTCAATATAACTTGTATGTACTCATTGCTCAGAGACATAGCTTGATTTGTAGAGGGGAACCACTCGTGAAGATTCAGATATTGTGCCTATATGTAACAATTTTTTTTTCATTAGATAACGTCAAATATTTTCGATTTCACATCTATGTAAGAGTTACTAGCTATCGAGTTCACTAGTCACTCTTAACAGTACTTGTGTTGAACGCTTACTTCGATATTTAAAGGAACCGAAATGTTATCCTGGCTTTTCGGTGGATAGAAATCTAATTGTATCATTCCATTGTCATCTAGCATACGAGTAATATTGGTATAGGCGGATTGGTTATAAGTGTATCCATACATTATTGTAACAGGATTTTTCTTATCTCGAACTGGTGATCCATCATGGTATGTTAATTTTATCTGAAAGAATTTTTTCTCGTGAAATATTCTTAAACATAGATTTAGGAGGGCATGTATGACCAGAATAGTGTAATGTAGGTACAAATGGAACAACCTTCCACCCTATTTACGTAAAAGATAAAAAGACACTAATTAACATGGAAGATATCTTTTGGATGAAAACGATCCATTTCGATAAATAGTTTTTCTTCGACCTATTTAGACAGTTGCACCTAGATTACGTCATTCTACTCGTATGCACCTCCTTAAAATTCAACTAGAACAACACTGTGCACGTACAAACGTTGTATATTTCAGATTAGGTTTGTAATATTCGGATGTTTTTATCAAATCCATTGTGTATTTATACTTGTGCAACGTTATATGCATAGAAGTATTTTGTCTTCTACCAGTTAAAGATTCTTCCACTGCCACGTCAATCATAACTGGTCTTTCGAATTCATCGGTTAATCTATGAAAAATTCATAATGCGTTAATGAGTATTTAAAAAAAAAAAAAAAAAAAAACATGATTAATATTGTACTATTCAATTACACGTACTTAAGTTCAGACTGAATATCAAACTCAACTGTCACTTTTCCATCGATAGGAATCACCTTACGCACGGGTTGTTGAAAAATTGGTTGGATGACACCAGAGAAAATGTCAGGATAAGCTGTAACCGTTGCCTCACCTTTTACCGGCTTACCGTAAGTGTACCTAAATAATTTTCGCTTTAAAGTTAATAATTCCGATCGTATTTATAACGAACATATTACGATTCGAACATTAACTCGTTGTTGCAGTTGTGGTGAAAAAACTTTTAAGAATAATCTTTGACCAACGTTTTCAAAAACTTTGAATAAGAAAAAAAAAAAAAGATATGGATTTATCTAACTACTAGAATTCACTTACTTCGCGCGAATCGTTGCAGTGATCTTTGAATCTTTAAACGTAAAATGTTGAGGAGCGTCGATAGTTACTTCAAAATTCGGAAGAACATACTCGGCAACCTCAAATTCTTTTTCGAAAATTTGATCACCGACATTAGCCATGATTTTCCAAGTACCTAAAACTGGCGATTCGGACAATTCGATTTCTCCATTAAAGATTCCGTGCGTTATAGGTGGACGAAGCCACTGTTTAATTCTGTTTCCTTTTCCATCCTATAAATTGTAGTTTTAAAAGTGCAGTAAATTAAAAAAAAAAAAAAAAAATAAAAAAAAAAAACGTTTGATAGCATTTCTCCAAAAAATATTTACCGCGACGTTGACATCTATTAATCTCGTGAGCGTAGGTCTGAGTCTAGAGTTCAATAAAACGCATCTAAACATGACCTTGTTTCCGGGTTTATAAATTGCTCTGTCAGTTTGAATGAAGACAGAGTAACTCTTGTGAATGTATTCGATTGGTTTTGAGGTTGAAAAGTCTATTCCTGATAAGCCACGCGCAATTAATTGATACCTGCCAGGTACAATGTCCCCGATCTATAATGTTAATGATGATTGGTGAAACGGTAAAATAAAATTACTATTACTGTGGAGAGAAGTTTAAAATCTTCGAGTATACCTCCAGTCGTAATATTCTTGTAGAATACGGCTGCACGCGTGTAACTTGGGAAACATTAAATGTCTCCCCATTGTCGAACAATCCATTCAGTTCGATATATATCGTCGATGTTGTCGATACACCGGTGGTACTTACTGCTACATGATATTCTGAATCGGGTCTCACCACTTTTGGAGCGATTATGCTATAATACCTTTCGAAGACATTAAAGAAATATTTGTAAAATGAAATTGAACACGTAATGGCTAGTATACGATGTTTTCGTTTTCATAAATAAATAGATTAGAGTTGTGCTTAGTTTTCGTCTGGAGTTATTGAGAAAAGTTTCTCTAAATAGTTCTAGAACCCTTATGAAGATGATAAAGTGGAAGATAAAATGTTAGAAACAATTAAATTCTCGACTTATATTTGTTAACATTTTTTTTTTTTGCTCAGTATGGCGTGTACCATCTCTCCCTGTACATGTTTATGTATGTATTTAAATGTATACGTACGGTTCTGCAATTGTGCTTGTAACTATGCAGGATAGAAAAAAGATGTGGAACCATTGCCAATTCATTTTTGAGTTTTCTGTAAAATACATATTGATACGATTAATACATATATATATAAAAAGTCATTTTCATTGGCATAATGATTGACGTATAAATTAGCCCACTAGTGAACAATGTAGTGTACTATGCAGCACAATTTTTACCAGATGTGTAGAAATTGATTTTATAACTGATAGGATAGGTCACGTTACAGGAAATTGTATTTTATACAAGAATTTTCCTCGTGGTACCATGTGGTACCATGTATCCGTGACGAAAAACAAAGCAATTATAAAGCAGATAATTGGTAGCGGTAAAAGTGACGAGTGAGCTAAACAGGGAAATCCTACATTTTATTATTATAGCGTGTTATAAGAGAATCGTGTTACATGAAAAAAATTGTCGAGATATTTTGAACGCGTTGTACGAATTAACGTTGTAAACATTGGTATATTGAGAGTGTCAATGATTTCTAAAGACAGTCATATGAGGTGTCGTAATTATATTCAAATATCCCAGATGATCCCGAATCAGTCCTTAAAAGGTCATAGTCACGCAAGTGGTCCACCATCGTAGTGATCATAGATATCTGTGTCCACCTCCTTCTGGTTCTCGCGTGAATATCTGTTTGTATCCCTAGGGACACAAAGGGTTTCGTTTCCTTGTTGAAATTAGCGTTACTTGTTAAAATTAGGGAAAAATAAAAATTGTCAACAAAAAAGAGTATACGAGAAAATACTTGATGATAAACATAAATTAATTTAGAATGACCAAAAACAATAACATCGCACGAAAGAAAGGCTTGATAATAGATACAGAATAACCGGAGATGAAAAAAACTAAGATTTCGTATAATATTTTCTTTATCAGAGGTGATAGGGGAAAGGTGGATCTAATTTTCTTATATAAAGTTTAATTATTTTTAGGATCCGTTTGAAACATTTTTATATGTTGGTCTATTGATAATGATGATGGCTATATGTATACAAGTAACGAACATATATAGAGTTATCGTCATTATTCATGGGCTGATGCTGTTTAAAATTGGATCAGACCTTGAGATACGAATGTAAAATTCATATATAGAATTTCGATGAAATTCATTCAGCCGTTGAGACGCAATCGAATTAAAAGAAATATGTACCTACGTATCAGCGTTCATAAAATTTATTTAAATAATCCAAACATGATTAGTGAGAGGTTCATCAGAGGTTCTGACGTCATGTACAATGAATACAATTACACGACAATTACGTTACGACTTAATTAAATTGCGTTGTCACCCAATGCATCAAATGGGATATTTTTAACTTTTAATTCCTGGAACCATTTATTATTCGCAATACAACATTGTAGTTTCCTATTATGTAATTATGGACTTCGCGAAGCGTCATAACTTCGTCGTATTTGGCCACGAATGAATCAACGTTTACTATACGCATCCGCAATATGCATTTAAAAATTGGACATAGTGTTTTTCAATTAAGTATGATCGATGATGTGCAGTGTCTATATCAAAAATTAATAGTTACGTATACTCGTTGCATTTCGTATCTTTTTACTTACATTATGTTGTGAATTATTTAGAAATTACTGCAACTGGTTATTTCAAAAATATCTTTTACTATTAACTTTGTTATATTCTTCATTTTTAATTAATTCATTTCCTTTCTTAAAAACACAAGAAAATGCAAATCAGCGTACAAAAAATATTTCCTATCGCGAGAATTAATTTTGTCGAACATTATTTTTGTCATCAGACACAGTGCTTTCCACTTACGAACTTTCAACGATGTCCAGTTTCTATGTGGACAATAGGTTATAAGTGACAACTAAGCTTATTTTTATACCATTACTGTTTGTATATTCTCAACAAAGTTTTCATGTATTGCAAAATAATACAAAGGATGTACCAAATTACTTAGAAATTAAACAATTCTTATACATGAGAAAAATCAGTTAATTTAAGAAACACGAAATATTTTGAGGATGTAAGATATTCAAAACTCGCTCCAAGTATCAGTGAATTAAAAACTGGGTATTCTAAAACATGTTTCTTTTTATTAACTTCATTACGTTATTCATTCTTAAATTATTTATTTACTTTCTTTTCGAAGAACGCGAGGAAATGCAAATGCAAAAAAGGAAAATGCTTCCTTTAGCGAGAGATAACGTTTTAAACGTTATTTTTGAAAATGGTCGGCGGAATGTGCTTGTTAATTAGAAAGTAGAACGACAGAAGTTTATATCCTGCCAGTTCTCAAAACCTGATTTGCCATCGTCGTTTCTATCTACTCACGGAATAAAATCATAAGTACTGAAAACATCTATCTATGACCAGTTAAAGAAGAAAGTCACCGAGACTCCTTCGTTCTTTATTAGGCGAATTCCCCTTTAACCATTTACGGTCCTGTGTCGAGCGAGACTCGACAAAAATCAGTCGAAATTCGAAAATCTGTACCGTAAAGGGCTAAGGAAATAATTGAAAACGAGTCCTCGGCTAGGATGCGCTCCAAAAATCGACGGCGCGTCATCTCGCAAAATAATCACGAAACGTGACTCACCTGCCCAAACAACCTGTTCCCTGGACGTGTTCCAGAATGTCCTGCGTCGGTTTTGCTTCTCGCATGCGTCAGTTGTACGTTTCTATAGAATAATTCCAGAAGAAAATATAGAACTTGAAGTCACGATGCTTTCGATGCAACAGTTAGGCGAACACTGGCGAACACTAACGAGTACGACCAATCATGGCACCAAGAAACCGAGCAGCGCAGGTTTCCCTTCCTGATGCCTGTTTTGTTTCCACTATACTTGTCACGCTTTTACCGTTACAGAAGTAATGCGCCAGTGGAGTACCACTGCCGTAGACTTCGGCTGCTGGCATCCACGAATTTCTACAAATTGATTCCAATGCACTTGTGATTGCCCAGATAGTTTTTTTATTTCGGTACATTCTCGCGTACGTGTATAATTTTTTATTTATACTAAAAGTGAAGAAAGTTATTGAAATATTCATTTTAACTGGCATGATTTCAAGCATACTTAAATTATCGCAGTCTTTAGCTAAAAAATTCTATGATAAAAGTATGTGCATTTTCTTTTATACTTGTACGGATTTTCTGAATAAATTGAGATTTAAGGAAATAATCGCTTGAAAATAAACGCAATAAATAAAATAATAATTGTTCAAATGCTCATGGAGATTCGACTCTTTTTTTTTTTTTTTTTGTTTAGTAGCGTTACATTTTTAAGGTGAAAGATGAGAAAAATTTAGAGACATTAATTTTATCCTAATTTTTTTTCAAATTTTTAACATTACCCCTGGTAAACTATTTTTCTAACATTGAATCAATAAAGAATCCATTAATGTTTGTAGAAGTATTCAAAAGCTACAGCTAAGAAAAGCGTTTTATGGATTTCATGGTCAACTTTAGCGTAAGCACCTGACATAGTTTAATGTATGTCATGCTAAACGATGCACCGTCGGAGAAGGTTGTCGCATAATTTGAAATACGTATATGTACAATACCCTAATTTCGAAGTAAGAAGCTTTTTTGTTACAATGAAGGAGTTGTATTATTAAATACCTGATTATTTTGATATTTTAT